CGAGTGGGACAGGGGGTTATACAGTGTACAGTGATGCCTCCTACATGAGACTGGGTTGTGCTATGATGCAGCATGGTAAGGTCATAGCCTATGGGTCCAGACAATTAAGGAGTCATGAAAAAAATTACCCCACCCTGACTTGAAACTTGCTGCATTATCCATGCCTGAAGACCTAGCGCCATTACTTGTATGGGGAGAGTTTGAGATTTTTACTGACCATAAGAGCTTGAGCACATATTCACTCAAAAGGATATGAACATACGTAAGAGGCGTTGGATAGAGCTCCTCAAGGATTATGATTGTTATATCTTGTGTAACCCGGGCAATGGCAATAGAGTAGTTGACGCACTAAGCAGAAAAATGCAAGTATGTTAGCTCATCTAATAGTTTCTGAATGCAGGGTAATAGGGGCTGTACAATAGATACGACTTCAGGACTTAAAGAGAGTTGCATGCTTGGTCCACCTGACTGTCCAACCCTAATTGATCTAGAGAATAAAAGAAGTACAGTTAACCGATTCCACCATAGTCACCCTCGAGAAAGATGCAGAACAGGGAGTACGTCCAGAATTTTGAGTCTCTGCCGATGGATTGCTCAAGTTTCAAGACAGGATGTGTATTTTAAATGACAATGAACTAAAAAGAGACATCATGACAGAGAGTCACAGCTCCAAGTTCGACATACATCCTATAAGTACTAAAATATAGTTTGCGATTCCAGTTTTGGTAGAGTGGGATAATAAAGGAGGTAACTAACTTTGTTACCAAGTGTCTAATATGACAACATGTTAAAGCGGAGCATCAATGCCCAGACAGGCTACTTCAGCCATTATCGATCCCAGAGTGGAAGTCAGAACATATCACAATGGATTTTGTAGCATGGTTGCCTAAAACAAACCCAAGACATGATGCCATTTGTGTAATTATCGACCGGTTTACCAAGTCTTCCCATTTCTTTGCTATTAAGATGACCGACCTTTTTGACAAGTTAGCAAAATTATATATCCAATAGATAGTCAGGTTACATGGAGTTCCAGTGTCAGTAGTATCCGACAGAGACCCTAGGTTCACTTCTCGATTTTGGTCTATTTTTTAGCCATGAGAACGAAACTATCCCTTAACACCGCATTCTACTCTCAAACCGATGGGCAATCAAAGAGAACGATTTGCACATTAGAGGATATGCTCTAAGCTTGTGTTTTAGACTTCGGGGGGCCATTGAGATGATCACCTACCTCTGATAGAGTTCGTCTACAATAACAACTATCAAGAAAGCATCAGCATGGCTCCGTACGAGGCATTGTATGGCCGACCATGCAGATTGCCGATATGTTGGGAAGAGGTGGGTAATAGAAAATTATTCAGCTTAAATCTTGTAGAGAAGACTACAACCAAGATAATTAAAATCAGGAAGAATATCTAGACAGCTTAGAGCAGACATAGAAGTTATGCAGACTCCCAGAGGAGGGATTTAGAATTTGGAAAAAGTGATCGAGTGTTTCTTAGGGTCACTCATTTCTAAGGGATCAGTAGGTTTGACAAAACGAAAAAATTAAATCCCCAGTTCATTGAACCATTTAAGATCTTAGATCGGATTAGTATGATTGGCTATAGACTGACACTACCTTCAAAGCTATTAAGGGATCATAATGTATTCCACGTATCTATGTTACATAAGTACAACCTAGACCCCTCACACATCCTGTCTCACGAGCTCATTTTACTCCAGGAGGATCTATCCTATGAGGAGGTACTGGTAGGTATTGTAAACCGAAAGAGTAGAGTACTTCGCAACCAAAAAATTCCATTCATCAAGGTCCTTTGACAACCAAAGTCGACCACCGCCGCACTGAAGCCACCTCTGACGACCAAAAAAGGTAAAAATTCTCATACCCGCTCGAAATTCAATTATGAGCACCACTGTGCCTATATCGGAGTAAAAGGAACGGCGGGTGAATTGAAAACTGTAAAAAATATCCGGTGGGACTACAACGGCCCAAAACCCTCCTCCGATGAGCCCCTTCTTAGTTCTCGTTTCATATAATTTTTCCATCGTTGTGTTCACCGTTCTGTTTTCTGTAGGTTGACCGAATGAGAAATCCCAGCCACGAAGGAGAGCCGGCGGAGCCACCGCACCCGAAAACTCCACCACTGGTAGGTTTCAGTTTTCTGATTTTTTTTAGCCAACCGAGACTCTCTAACGTATTTTTTCGTAGGGGTATGTATAAAGTCAGCCAAAACTGACCTAAATCGGTCGAAAAAGGTCAAGCCGAGATAAAAACCATCGCCGCGGGCGGCGGTGCTGTCGTTGGAGCACTACCGTAAAAATCACCTTATACCGGACGGGGTATCGAGAGATGGTATTTTTGGCGCTCATACTGGACAGAATATGAGGATGACCTGGTTCACCCTCATATGGGATGTGGTATCAAGGGATGACATTTTTTGCACTCATATCGGACGGAGTATGGGGACGGCTAGATAATTGACAAATCTAGATATTAGATTCATGCATAGAGAGAGATCCTTATAGACCCCCTAGAGATACCAGTGAGTAGATAAAAATGAAAGTTATTGTTCTTACTCACTTGTGTAACAAATCATATTATTATTTGAGTTATTGTCTTTATAGGTTGATTTTGAAATTCTCATAACAGTAAGTATGCAATAAATAGTTTTCCTTATAATAAATGAACTTACTTAAATTAAGAGTTACATTAGTCATTTTATATTTTTTTTACCAACCTTTAGTTTCCGTATCAGTGAGGAGTGTGATATTATAATTAGGTTAGTGTAGCTCACCTCTATTAACCATTTCAGATCAAGAAGATCAAGATTCAGATGCTAATTAGTATGAGAGCTGTGAGTAGGTGTCATTTGGATCCTATTAAGAGTTAGTGGAGGTTAACCTCCATATAACATTTATTTCCTATTTTTATATGTTTATTTCATTTTTTTTATGAACCGCTATGAAATGGATATTTTCGTAGTTCTATTGGACATTCAAATTTATGTGTAAGGAATGTAAACCCTAACATTATTATACGCTTCCGCATTAAATTTATAAATTTATTTTCCTTTTAGTTCCAGATTGAACATTATCAGATTGCTAATTTTTTTATCATTGTTAATTGTAGTGTGTGAAATAAGTAAATTATATTTATTCATGAAATCCAATAATAAATTGTGTCATAATAATCAAGATATTGTGAAATCATTTTATGAGTAAATCGAAGAAAATCAATATTTAAAAAAATCAATATTTTAAATTGATAATTATGTGATGTTAAACTTGAAAAATATTATATATTATATATATATATATATATATATCAATAATAACATTAAACGCGTATGCACACATCATAATAAAAAAAAAAAATTGTAATAAGCATGAAGTTTGCTACTAATAATTTTCATGAAAAAGTAGTGGGTATGAGTGTTTTAATTGTAAGTTTAATTAATGCCTTACATGCAACGTGTCTAGACACGTTAAATTTGTAATTATAAAAAATTTAAAATAAATTTTATTAAAAATATATAATTTATTATTTTATAAATATATTATAAATTAATTTATAATATTTAATTTAACGAAATTAATAATTTATGTTAGTGATGCATCATAAAACAACACAGTGATTAAATTGATTTTGTTCAAACGTGTTGATATATTTGAACAACATAACATCTTTTTAAGTTAAAATAACGACATCTTAATAGAATATTTGAATTAATTTTTTAACTATAAAAAAATAATTGTAAGTGTAATTAATGCATACATGGAAGGTGTGTAAGGAAACTTCATGTACGTATTTTAATTAATATAATTTTTTCAGCATGTAATGACTACACATATGTTATTATTTTATTTTTAGTTGTTAGATATTTATATTTAAAGAAAAATATTTTTTAAAGAATTATAATATAAAAGTTATATTACCAATTTCCAGCAGTTATAATTAATGACGGGACTATTAGGATTATTTTTAGAATAAATAATTTTTTTAATTAAATTATTTAAAATTTTATGTGAATTTTATTATATTATCATAAATTTTTATGTAAAAAAATAACATATATAAATAGATAAAATAATAAAAATTTCTTTTACTTGATTAAGTTATTAAGAAGCATATATAAAATCATAACTAAATATAACCAAAAAAAAAAAAAAATCATGTACAATAAATAATAAAAGAAAACTAAAATTTTTATCCACATTTTTTTGTTTGATTTAATTCTCACTTCAATTTTGTGTTAAAAATAATTTTTATAATTAAAAAACAAAATTATTTAAATTAATTTATTTTTGTCAATAACTACTAAAATTAATATATATCTAACAGTTTAAATTTATAATATTATTTATTTAATTAATTGTTTATATTACGTATTATCCGAAATAACATGTAACGACCAAAAATTTTAAATCATACTTAATTATTTAAAAAATTAAAAATTAAAATTATTTTCTCTTTTTTTTTTTTATCAATACAAAATTGAAACAGAGATCAGACTCAAACAAAAATTAATAGTAAAAAAAATAAAAAATATATTTAACCCTAAAAAGAATTATGGCAAGATGAGAGAAGAAGAATTTAACCAATCAAAGTGAATACGTGCTCCATTAGCTGCAACTTAACTTACAAACTTGAGAAGACTATAGCTCCTCCTCCAATAGAAGCAAATGAAGAGGTTTGTTTTGCATTCACTGCATGTCAAGTCTCAAATTACACAAACAATTCAAGTTACAACATAAAGATGACAAGAGAAATTTGAAATAAAAGCTGCATTCTGTTCTAAAAGTTCGTGAAGGCGCATGCTAGACAATTTGCTGTTGTCCCCAGCAAAGCAACATTTCCAACAGACTGAAAATCAAAATAACTAAATGCTCATGTTTTTTTTGATTCATGAAAGAAGTTTAAGGATGAACTTCATCCCATCCTCAAACTGCCATGAGATCACCATAGTTCCTCATCAGAAAAATGGATCCTGCAAATAGCCCTGCAGCACGCAGCAATTTCTGTACAAAAGAATATTTAAAAGTGAAAAATCAGGAAGTTAAAACTTAAAAAAAACAAAAAAAAAAAACTTAACAGATGATGGTATAGTGATCTGAAGGAAAAGAAACAACATTAACCCTAATAACAGAATGATAACAGACTGAAAAACAACTTCACTCCCATGAACCTGATCAAAATTTTTAAAAGAAAGCATCACAAACTTTACAATTAAATCAAATATCATCTAGTCTAAGCCTTCGGTATATCTCATAAATCACCAAAAATATTCATCTTTATGAACAAGGATTATTAAGATCATTTCCTTTTCTTTAGGGACAAGTGAAATGATTAGCCACTTCAGAAGAAGAAGCAGCTCATCACCGCAACCTTAGTTCACCCAATCTCCCCTAGATTTACCACAATTTTAAATATCATAAAGGATCAACGTGAAAAATAGAAACCACCATTACGGATAAGCCATATATTGCCTCTAAACAGATTTTCTTTCCTATGAAACAGAAGATCTATGTGGCTTGAGATTCCTGGTTGAAGGACTGTAGCTGCAGCTAAGCAATTATACACAAACGGCATTCACATTGACAAGATGACAGGGTATTATTCTCAGAAATCCTTCCAGGGAAAAAGAATTTTCGAAAAGCTTGAGAGAAAGTTTAACACCATGTAAAATGGCTGAGAAGACACACCCTTATACATAATCTAAATTAAATTGTGTGCCCAACGTTAAGATTTTTTCATGTTAAAAAGAACATTCAATGAATATCACTCATTTTCAGGCAAGTTTGGAGGACCAAACAAGAAATATGGGAAATACAACTCCTCCGTACTATTGAGCTCTTATTTAACCATAGCTGGTAAACGAAGACAATGAGATAGGACCAAAGCTATCATGAAGTACATGAAATTTATCTCCAAGAGATAAACTTCTTGTAGTGGAAATGAAAAGCATCATTGATCCTAGTTCGTCTGGTTCAAACTAAAATTTATGCTTCACTAGGTTTTGTTTTTGCTTTCCTCCCCAACCCACCGGAACACAAAGTTTGTTTGACCATTGGAGTAAAGCAGTGCAGGAATTATTATCGTCTTTAAAGAAAAATCCTACACCAAGAACTATACAAAGCAACATTTAAACTTTTTTCTTCACTTTTACTCTCTTCTTCTCATCCACTGAGCAACACGAACCATGCAAACAAAATAAACCAAGAGAAAAGTTATCATCAATTTGCAATTTGTAGTCTTCCCAAATACAACCATTTGAATTGGCTCAGGAAAAAAACCCCTAAACTAGCTTCTGTAACAGATTCTGAGTCCATGGAAAAATTAAAATCTCATGAGAAAGCAGAAAGACGAAGAACAACAACTATTTAACATAATTTTAAGGGAAACTGAGAGATCTATAAACAAAATAAAGAAACTAGATCGCACCATGTTGAGGGCCCACTTCTCTTCATCATGAACCTGAGAATGCCAGATGGCCTTCAGCTTCTCAAGTGAAATGACTTTGTCCGCCATTGATTCTTGCAGATACGAGAACGAGACTTGAAGGTTGGTTTGGGGTTTTAGGGAGCTAAAGAAGAGAAGAGGGTTTTAAATTTCAATTGGGGTTAGGGTTTAAAATGTTAAATGAAATGGCAGAAATACCCTCTTGCAATTTTGAAGCTCTTTTTAAAAAAATTAATTAACACAACAATCAAAAAGTTGCTCACAGACTGAGTCTGAACTCAACCCGTCTCGAGTTGACTCATTTTAAGAATTAAGAGCATCCAATAACATAGTGACACGTGGGTTCCACAGCTAACTAAAAGCCAATCCATAATCTTCATTGCCCATCATTCATTTCAGCGGGTTGTTTGTTGTCGCCGTTGCCCCACTTTCTGTAGCAAATATTCTTCTCCGATTCTACTAGGAAAGGAGAGTGATAATAATGGAGCCAACATCGATTTGTTGCAGCAGAGGAGTCACGTTCATTCAATCCATGGCTACTCAGAGACCTCTGCCTTCTGCTGCTAGAACTCTCTCCTCCAAGAAGGTTAGTTTTGAACTTTGATCTCTATCTCTATCTTTGTTTGTTTAATTTGATTCAGCGCACTCAACTTTTTCTTCGCACAAATAATTGATGAGAATTATGTTCCTCAAAGAAGATGGGAATTAGATTACAGTTTTTAACTCAAAATATTTTCTTTTTCTGTCTTATTCATTAAAATGAATTTTACTTTTCATTTACTTGATAGAGAATTGAAATTTATTAGATTCACATATTTAAAAAATCCGATCCAATTAAAAATGTATAGAAACTCAATTTTTTCAATAAATTAGGAGAAAGTAAATAGGTCTGGGCGAGCCATTTTGAAGTTTTCTGATAAGACTTTGATCCACCTTGACAAAAACAAAAAAATGCAGAACTCAACAGTATTCCCTCTGGGTGAGCCAGGACCAAGGAGTAGTCCATTGGGAAGCGGTCCTCCAGTTAAGCTACTAACGAGAGTTGAGCAACTGAAGCTACTCACCAAAGCTGAGAAAGCAGGGCTCTTATCTGCAGCAGAGAAATTTGGTCTGTCTCTTTCAACCATAGAGAAACTTGATCTGCTTTCCAAGGCTGAACAACTTGGTGTCCTATCAGCAGCTACTGACCGTACAACTCCTGGGAAACTCTTCACCCTCAGCCTAGGCTTACTGCTTCTAGGTCCTTCTTGTGTCTATCTTCTGCCTGAGGATTACCCTTGGGAGGTCGTATTACAGCTTCTTGTGGCTCTTGCTTCTCTACTTGGTGGATCTGCAGCTTTTGCTGCAGCACAATTTGTCTCCAAATTGCAGAAATCAAATTGATTTTTTGTTATCCAAATGGATTTTCACACTTATTTATTGCTTAATCAAGGAAGTGATTGCTCCAAAGCACATTAACCATTTAATATTTCATCTAACCGTACAGTAAACATTCGAAATGGCATACAATTTTTTCCAACCATAAAAAAGAACAGTGGCATTTACTTCTAATAAATCTAATGAAGAATAAAAGTGTTAGGGGGGTCAATTCAACAACCAAGACAAAGCATGAATGTGAACATTGGAGGAGGAAAGAGGGGCAAGAAAATGTTAAATAAATTCCCATCAAATTATATACCGAAAGAATACATAGTGGTACCAGAACAACATTCTCCATGTAATGCAAATTTTATCAGATACTCTCAGGGGGGAAAATTATCATTGATCATTTGCAATTATAAAAATCAAAACTTTAATCTAGTATCTTCATACCCCTCATCTCAACTGTGAATAAAAAGAAAAAATCCTGGTCACTCTCCTCACTAATGTTAAGGCTTCTAAGCTGAGGTACGACTTACACCACCTTGACGTCCTCCTCCCCTTCCATTTCCATTCTGATTAACCCGCTGATAACCCTCTCCTCCATTGCGTCCACTGGAACCTTTCGGTCGCCCTGAAAACTCCCCTTGGCTTCTGAATTCACCCCTGCCATATCCTCGGGAACCCCCAAAGTTCCCTCCACGGCCTTTAAAACTATCACTTCGGAAATTGCTTCTACCAGAAGAATACCTCCCTCTTCCACTGCTGCTGCTGCTGCTAACTGAGAAGCAAACCGGTCTCAGCTTCTTGTACTTAATTTGGCTTATCTAGATAAAAATAAAATGGAATCTTCAATTTACCTCGAGTATTTGTTCTTTTTTCCTCCACAGCAGCCTGACGATCCCCAATTATAATGGGTGAAGCCTGGAATTTATTAGTAAAGCCGACATTAGGGAATAAATATGCTGAGCACCAACACACACAAGAATAAACAGTTTAAAAACACACAATTGCAGTTAACAATAAACCCTTCCAAGCCTATCCTACAGTCTTTCCGATCATTTCAACCAAAGACCACACCCCAATGCTCCCTTCCCCAGCAAGAAACAAATGACATGGAGTGATTTTTTTTTTTATAATTTCGCTTCTTCTCTGGAAGGGAGGTTTTTTTTCTTTTGGGGAGTTTTGGGAGGAAGCAGTATATATAGACAGTTTTCTGTACCCAAATCTTTATGCCAACTATGCTCTCTGCTTGGTTGAAAGGTTAGCAGAAAAGCTATACACAGAGTAATATTATTTGATACAATAGAAAGGGGGTAGATGAATTGCAATTAGCTAAGATGTGCGATCAACAATTTGGAAATATGCATTAGGAAATAGTCCATGTTTTGAGCAGAAGAGATTCATACAATACAATGATCTCATCCGCAAAGGCCACCACTATAAGAATGTAAATTATACTACTGTCAAGAATCAACTGAGGAGGTCTAACAGAGAGGGCGACAACCTATTCCGCCCTAGATGAGGTAAGAATAAGCTATGGGTGTCATGGTTGCTACAAGGCATAGCTTATCTTGGGGGGGAATAGCTGACTGGCTCAGACACAAGGTATCTCCATTCACTCCATTAATCATTTCATAGTTCGATTAACTTCTAAACAAATAAGATGTTATAATATTTTGTTACATGTTTTAGAAACTTAAAAAGACACTTTGCTTTGAATATTATTTACATGATATGACCAATTTGATTCAATTCATATCATATTTCATTATTTAATTACTATGGTATGCTTGATATGTAGAATCAGTACATAATCTTAATATTTTAATCAATTTTATCCTGTAAGAAATCTATGGTAGTAACGGAATTGATTCAAACAAAAAAGTTATAATCTAATTCTAGATATTAAAGATACTCTATCAATTAAGTAAAACATAGAATACGATTTCCACAGACCTGACCCTTAAGTTTAAACGTGAGTTATAGAAATGAATTTAAGTAAATTACCCAAATGAAATATATATTCAAAAAGGATATGATAAAATATTAGCAATCACGTTGAGAAACTTAAACAAAGACAGAGAAGAAGAATAAAGCAGTACCTCAAGTGCATTTTGCATGGAGCTTAATGTCTCAAATTCAACAAAACCAAAACAAAATCCCTGCTGCAGCAGACAAAGAAACATGGCCATTAAGGAATGCAACATAAGAATTAAGCTATGGTAGAAAGAGTAAATAAGATATTGATCAAACCTTGTTGCTTCTGACTTGAATGCCATTGTGTTTTATTGCCCCAAATTTTTTGAACACCTCCTCAAGTTGAGCAGGTGTTGCATTGAAAGGCAAATTCCGAACATATATGGAGTGACCTTCGGCTGTAATGAATACAATATCAGTGAAAACTAGATTTTGAGATTACAGGAAACACATCAAGACAGACAAAAATAGGTGCCTTCGATTATTATTATTTTTTAAAACAAAAAATATAGTATGATTCATTAATTTACAAGTACCAAGGATATGCCAACCCATGTACAAAAAAGTATCATATGTCAATCAAAATATATAAGGTCCCCAAAATCCTCAATTGTATAAAGAGGATGACTCATAAGATGCCTTCAATTATTAAATCTTGTTATAATATTGTCTCCAAGAAAAATATCAGACATGTCAGAGACAAATTAGAAAGCATGATTTGGGCATTGCAAAAGATTAAGTCGGCAATAAAGCAACTCAAAGCAAAGGCTACACTTACCTTCCTCATTAATATTGCTACTTTCTGGAGCAGCATCACTGCCGAGAGATGATGCCTCTGGAGGTGGAGCAGGTTTTGTAGAATTAACTAAGAGTGGATCAGTACTTGCAGGTGCTGTCCTGACTTTGGCTGCGGAAACTTGTACTGGATTTGGCGCTGTATTACTTTTCATTACTTTCACCTACACGAGTTCATATCACATTACTACCGAAAAGGAGAAAAAAAGAACTCACACCATGAATTGTAAAATGCTAAATCATTAGCAATAACTCACAATTGAAGCGTAAGATTTCTTTGGAGCATCCTCCTGGGCCACAGGAGCTGAATCAACACCTGCAACAATTTCTACCTCACTTGAATGGGTTGGAGGTTCAACAATTTCTTCTTCTATTACAGATCCTTCCTCTTTGTCTGAAGGATCGCATACTTCAGCACCATTAGTAAGATCTTCATCCTCAATGGAGATTGTTGACTCTATAGCATGATGTTCATGAGCCTCGGCAGGTTCTGTAAACAAGAAATCCAATTAAAATTTTCAGTCTGAAGTTCTTACAATATTGTCCATCAAGAAAAAAAAAAATCAGGCAAACCTGGTTCAGGTGTCAGTGCAGATGTTGGAGCAGTTTCCTTGGTTGCAGTGACTGGGACAGAGTTGATCAACAGTGACTCATTCTCCTCAACATATCTAAAAACATCATTTAAGACAAAGTAGCCATTGTCTTGTGGAGCTAGAAAGAATGTCTGAGTGAATTTCTTTCTCACATTATCTTTTCCAGTTAAGCACCCAGTGACTAATACAATCACCCCTTTCTCATAAGAATCCTGTGCATCAGCAGTTTTTATCTCTGCTGTATAGTCTTCGTAATTAAGGGAGAGGATCTTGTCATTGATGGCCTGTCCAAGTGCAGAAAACAAAGAAATTTCAATGCCAACATTATACCTTAAAGCCTTGATTTCAAACATTTACCAAAAAAAGAATACACTGACCAAACTTTTTCAAACAAGCACTTGGAAAAAAAAATGCATGAGCTACTAAAGATAAAACAATTAAAATTTAAGATAGAGAATAGGCCTTAGCAAAGAAAAGCTAGAGATATATAATTAGCGAGCATTTAAAAGGAAAACAATTTTAGAGCAAGCAGCACCGAGAATAAACTTTTTGCTAACACCATAGTGAAGAATGCCAAATGACAAGTGGCTGACTGGTAACTTCATTTGTAAAATCAGCAATGGCTCAGCTAAAATGCTATGGTAAATTGTCTCTAAGAAACAAAAATGAATCTTTTTTTAGTGACCATAAACTTGTAAGAGATTGCAAGGGATGCAACTTTGTCTCAGATACTTCATGGAAATATATACTGACTAAAACTTCAAAACATTTGCTCTTAAAGGGAAGGAGGTGATTTAATGTCTGGGAATGGCGAAAAAACAATATGAACCAAAAAAAAAAAGTAAACCTTATACTGTTTTCTTATATAAGTGGACAGAAGATTTTGTAAGATTAGTTGAATATACAATTTATATATGTAAAATATGCAAACTTCTTACATCCGCTTCTCATATAAAGCTCCAAAAATGCATATCCCCATAACAATTGACTTGGCAACATAACTTCTAAAAATTGTTTTAGGACAAAAACTCAAATCAATGGAAAAAGACTTTCTTAGACTTGTGCTCATAGGTTCATTTGCGGGAGCTCACCAGCATGAAAAAAATATTTCGTATGCTGAATGGTGCAATAATCTCATAAACTAGAAGGGAATTGGTAATTTGCATGTAAATAGAAAAAGTCCCAAACAAACTTACTTGCATGGTTGAAACAGTTGTCATAACACCATTCGTATCCGGTCGACTTAATGAACTTGAATCTTGATAAAACCTATGCACCAATCCAGGAGATTGATGAAGAATATGGTAATACTGCTCCACAAAGGCATTGCCAACAACTTGAGCACTAGGAGCAGGACCAGCTTCCTGCATTGCCATCTACACTGAACATCAACATATTGGTAAATCAAATAATTGAAAAAAAACATAAAATAATCATAGGATATTTCTTAATATATGTCCAATGAGTTAGTCAAGGACTTAAAACATAAAATAACGATTATCACCATATATTCCCAGAGAAATAGCCTACACATTTGTCAAATAAGTATTAGTGAAAGACAATTGAAGTTTAAGGAGAGGCCTTACAATGGAAAAAAATATATTATGGTGACTTCGTTATCTATACGGAGATGTTAAAACATTTATATATTGACAAAAAGTAGAGAGCAAAGAAAGCACAATCCATATAAATGACCAATTGGAAATCTCCAGCAAGTGAATTGAGCTTCAGATGTTCAGACGGTATAGAAACAGAAAACTATCCAGGGAAATAAAAACAAAACCCTAGTAAATCAAATCTCAAAAAACAAAAGATTTGAGAAACAGAAACCACGAGCCAGCAAGACCAGGATCAATCTCGATTAATCAAAACAGAATTACAACAAAAGAAAAAAAGAAAAAAAACAAGCACCTACCTACACAACCGTCCAAGAAATCAAATATGTACAGCTTCAAGCAATTAAATCACGGGGATGACTTAAAAAGCAACAGATGCAGATATTGGGAAGAAAAAAAGAACATGACACGACGACAAAGAAAATGACATTTAATCGCAACTTGGCATCTCACGTAAACCCTAAATCAAACTACCAGCGAAACACATAACACGAGTACACGAATCGTTTATAGAGTACACACTTCGCTTCAAATTGAAGGAAAAGCAAGCAACTTTTTTGTACGGCCATATAAACCCTAAATCAGAAGAAAATCAAAACACATACGCAAGTACATTCTTTTAACATAAACTACACTTCCTCGAAATTTAAAGGAGAAAAAAAAAAAGAAAAAACAACCTCGTCATGGATCAATCAAATACTATGCTATTATAATCACTCGCAGATCAATGAGAGCTGATTAAAATAAGCAGCCAGCAACGATGAAATTGAAAGATCAAAGACATAAAAGAGTTACCTGCTTAATCGGTGATTTGTGAGAGAGAGAGAAAGAGAGAGAGAGAGAGAGAGGGAGGGAGAGATCTGCGAGCTTGGAGAGCGGAGACAAGATGATTGAGACGAAGCGTGGGAATAAAGGAAATACGCAGTTGAGCAGAGGGAGAGAAAAATATACCAATTATTTGGAAATATTTTTTTTTTTATTTTTTTAATTATTATTATTATTTTTTTAAATTTTGTCTTTTTGTTCTTTATTTATTATATTTTATATTTTCATATGTCGGAAACAAAGTCTAAAAATACACCAATTATAAGATTTCTTTTATAGGAAGAAAATTGTAATGTGTGTGTATACATATATATATATATGTATTAAAAAAAACTTATATTTCTATTTTAATTTGATGAATTACTGAAATAAATAATTAAATAAGATGTTAGAAACAATTAAATTGACCATTTACTTTGTTTTGTTTAATTAATAATATCCTATAATGAACATGCTTTATTAATTGTTTATACATTTCTGTTTTGAATAATTTGTTGATTATTGATTATGATTGACACTAGTGGTTAATTTTTTAATTAATAGACCAAACTTTATATTTTAAATTTGCATTAATGGTGGATTTGCCCTTAACATTAAAATTAGGCGTCCCCTTAATCATAAAATTAATAAATATTCACTTATTTGTCTTTAATGCATTCTAAATTTCTTAATATTGAAAAGATTGGAAAATTCATCATAAAATTTTGTGAAAAACCTAAATTAATTAAATAAAAAACCTAATTGAAGTTCTAAATTATAATAAATTAAATGAGAATACTGAAATTTGCAGATTAATTTAATATAGGTAGATAAATGTATAAATTATTAAATAAAAATATACTTATAATTGATTTATGTGAATATATATTTGAAAATATTAACAAAATCGTACAAAAGAAAACAATAAATTAAAAAAATAAAATAAAATGAATACTGTCTTTTGAAACATCAACCGTCCCAAACCGGCTCATAAAACATAAACCGGACCGGCCCGGAAAACAATCAACCCGGTTTATTGTTACAATTTAGAACCAGTCGTCTCCATGATCCAGTATCTTTCATCGTTCTATCAATTGACAAACCCTTCCCTCTCGGTTCACTGTATCTGTTTCTTCTAGGTGCGTCAATGGCGAAGCCAGCGTCGACCTCTTCTCTTTTGCAAACCTTGAAGCGATACATCAAAAAGCCATGGGAGATAACTGGTCCGTGCGCCGACCCAGAATATAGGTCTGCTGTGCCAACCGCACTCGAGTACAGGGTAACGTGCCCGGCAACCCCTAAACTCCAGCCCTTCATTCCCACATCGAACCCAGAGACCGTGTACGACATCAACTATTACACTCGTGATCAGCGCCGCAACCGTCCTCCGGTTCGTCGCTCGATCCTCAAGAAGGACGACGTGCAGAAGATGATGAAGGAGAAGACTTTTAATGTAATTGATTTTCCTCCTGTTTATTTGACGGACTATATCGAAGAGGCCGACAATGCGCGAGGTGGGGGGTACCAGAAATAGGTATGCCTTTCTCAAATTTCCCTTGTTTTTGAACTGAATTGAGAACTTTTTTTTTAAAAAAAAAAAACTATTATTTGCGCTGATTTTTTTTATGCGAATTGATGGATGTTTTGTTTGAACAGTCATTTCTCGTTTCATCTTCCACGCTGTAGGTACATGAGTATCTTGTTTGTTACTCAATGTATTGGGTATCGGGGGTTTTGGATTGAAAGTGAAATGAGTTGGGTTGTGGGGATTTTATAATTAATTGGTTTCCAGATTTAGGTGCTTGGGCGTGTAGGATTTGAGGAGCCAAATGTGTGTTTTAGGACCACTGTATGTCTAGTTTTCAGTTTCTTGGATATGTCTGTTAAGGGCCTGTTGATCATCCTTAGTTCCGGACGAATTTTCGATAGTATCTCGTTAGTCCTAAGAAACCTCTAGAGCTTTTACCGAAGTGAGATGCAGCCAGGATAACATTGCCTCAATCGTTTCTGGATCAGTTTTCACTCCTTGCTTGGAGATAATATGTCACAAATACTTAGTATCTTCATGGAAAAATGAACATCTTGACCTTTTTGCATAGAGTTGATGCTGCCTGAGAATCGGAAATACCTTCTCCAGACTCCAGGTATTGCTTATGCTGTTCTAAGTTGGAGCTATACACCAGGATGTTGTCAAAGAATATAAGAACAAATATCCTCAACCGCTCCTCAAAGATGTGATTCATGAGGCATGAAATACAGCAGAGGCATTTGTAAACCTGAAGGGCAAAATACATGCCTGTAATGTGTTCTAAAGGCTGTTTTAAAATGTCCTCATCCTTCACCCAAATTTAGTGGTATCTGGCTCTTAAATTGACTTTTGAAAATACTGCTGCTCTATGTAACTCATCAAGCAGATCGTCAATAGTCAAAAGTGAAAATTTTATGCTTCACCATGATTCCTTAAGCTCCCTATGGCTGACGCAAAATCTCCTAGTACAATCTTTTTTCTTTACCAGCAATATCAAAGTGGCAAATTCAGATGGCTGGTCCAGATGATTGAAGGATCCAACATCTTCTGTACTTGTTCAATTTTTTGCTTTTGGAAATGAGGTAATGATAGGGTCTCAGATTGACTGGGAACCTTCCTGCCTTAAGGGATGGCATGATCCAAGGCGTTGGGTGGAGGCAGCTCAGTAGGTGCCTCAAAGACATTCTGAAAAGCCCGTAAAACTTGTTTCACTTTGCCTTCTCCCTTATTTGATCCATTATCCATTGAAAAAGTTGGGTTGTTTATCTTCCACAGACCAAAGGCAGAACACGATGCTAATGCTGTGGGTGCCTCTGTTCTTTAGCATCTTATTAACTTATTCTCTGAGTCATTTTGATTAGTTTGTCCAAGGCTTTAATTCCATGCAATGCCACCTGCTTTCCTCTATCCTGAAGCTGATTTCTGGCTCCGGAAAGTAAAAAACCATGGGGTTGTACACTCTCATCTAATTCACTCCCAAGATCATGTTGTAGTCCCCCAGTTGAATGATTCAGAAGTTATAATAAAGCACATTATTTTGTATCTTTCATTGCACTCCTCTATATTTCTCCTTACTCGTCACCTTTTGGCCATTAGCCACTACCACCGTGATTGGTTTATTCTGCACTATTATGTTATTTAGTCCCTCAGCCACAATGATGTCTATAAAGGACTGTAAACTCCCACTATCTAGAAGAATCATGACTTCCTTCCTCTCCAGTGAACCCTTGATCCTCACTGTAACCCCCTGTAGATAGGCCGTCAATAGATTGTAAGAGGGGGTTCCCATATCCTCTGTAATCTTTTTATTCTCTTCCTCTCTCACTTCCTTCTTTTCTTCCTCCTATTCCTCCCCAATCGCCATCACTGTTTTCAGTTTAAATTGGTGGCCCAGGTGATACTTCTCATCACACCTGTAGCAGGAACTGTTGCACTTATTCTGAGTAATTATGGTTTGCAGGCTTATGAGGGTTAAGTTGGGTGTGAGGCTTTTGTGTGTTTATTTGTTTGCAGGTTTTCTCATGAGCAGAATGATGGTGATAAGGAGAGTTTCTGGGACGGATCTGATGCGGACTGGTTGGCGAGTAATGAGTTTTCGACTATAAGCAGGGGAATATGGAGGAATAATTGGTATGTGGCAGTCTTTTGCCTCAACAGATTGTTCTTGTCATAGAGCCAGCTTGAAGGGGCATGGTTAAGGGTGAGGGGTTTGTGCCTCCTCAGTGTGGATCAGAACTCC